TTTTTTTTTAAAATTATTTATTAATTCCAACAATAATTTATTTTTACATAATTAAAATTAAATAGGGGTAAACTATGAAAGATCTTGGCGAAAATTAATTTTCCAATAACATTAAATAAGCTTTCTTAATCCATGTGAAAAATGAAACAAGCCTATATAATTGAAACGGATGGAGTATTAGTTTATTCAAGAAAGCTAAAATCAAAGAACATGGATAACCTCACATCCGACGCACTAAGACATTTAGAATCGATGATAGATCCAAATCCTTAGAAGGTATCAAAGATATCTGATATTGACTTACCCATTGCTCTCAGAAAATGAACACGGTCATGTACTCTCCACCTTATTTCAAAATTCATGTCCTATAATGTTGTCTACAGGATTTCGTATTTTTGCATCTCAACTTGACACAGTAATTCCAAGAACCATTCATGAAGCTTTGGAAATCCTCAAATGGAGAGAAGCAGTATTAAAGGAAATGCGAGTGTTGGAAAAAAAATGACATTTGGGAAGTAACAAACCTTGCCACAAGGAAAGAAACCTGTTGGATTCAAATGGGCCTTCAATTTGACATACAAAGATGATGGGACAAAGAACGGTATAAAACTCGGTTGGTTGCAAAAGGATATGCAAAGACCTACGGCATCGACCATATATAAACATTGGCGCTAGTAGCAAATTTGAATACAATTCAAGTCCTATCACTAGTAGCAAATTTGGATTGGTCGATTCAGCACCTGGAAATCAAAAATGCATTTCTAAATGGGGAATTAGAAGAAGTTTTCATGACATTACCACCAGGTTTTTGCAAGGTAAATGAAAATGGCCGAGTATGTAAGCTAAAAAAATCTTTATACGGACTCGCGCAATCGTCGAGAGTATGGTTTGACAGATTTGCAAAAGTATTGAAAAATTAAGGATATCATCTGGGACGATTAGATCACACTATGTTCCTTTAGCAATTTGAGGATGATTCTAAAACGATTCTGATCGTATATGTCGATGAAATTGCTCTAACATACGACAATATAGTGGAAATGGAAAGGTTTAATAAAAGCATTGCCACTGAATTTGAAGGAAATGATCTGGGATCTATGCAATATTTCCTGGGGATGGAAGTTGCTAAATCAAAACGAGGCATCAGTGTATCACAATGAAAATATATTCTTGATCTCCTAATCGAAATTGGCATGCTAGAATGTAAACTGAGCGCTACACCTGTAGATGTGGGAAAAAGAGTGGAAGCTTGAGGAAATCTAGTAGAGCCTAACAGATTTCAAAGATTAGCTCGAAAACTGATCTACCTATCACACACCAAACCTGACATCGCATTCACATTCGCAGTAAATCTTGTAAGCTAACACATGTATTCACCGGAGGAAAGTCACCTAGAAGCTGTCTACAAGATACTCAGATATCTCAAAGGGACCTTCGGAAAGGGGATATTCTTTAGAAAGAATGAAATGAGAGAAGTTGAAATCTAAAAAGATGCATATTGGGCAGGGTTGATAGACAATAGGTCTACTACTAGTTAGTGTACCTTTGTATGGGAAAATCTGATGACGTGGAGAAGGAAAAAAAATGTAGTAGCCTGAAGTAGTGATGAAACAGAGTTCAGAACTGTTGCACAGAGAATATGTGAAGGACTGTGGTTGAGAAAGCTTCTCGAGGAATTACTTGTCACAATAAAGTTGCCAATCAAACTATATTGTGATAATAAAGCAGCGATCAACATTTCCCTTAATTCAGTTCATCATGACAAGACCAAACATGTAGAGATGGATAAACACTTTATCAAAGAAAAAGTTTAGGAATGAATTATTTGCATGACTTATGTTCCGACCCTAGCACAAGTTGCAGATGTCTTCACCAAAGAACTGCCTAGACCAAAATTCGATGATTTCATCTTCAAGTTGGATATGGTCAACATTTACGATCCAATTTGAGGGGGAGTGTTGAAATCTCGAGATGATTGGAACCATGATTAGAAAGAATTATTGGGGATTCCACTTTCCATAGAAGAATATATTGATTGATATTAGAGATTATAGGAAATTGCCTAGATTTGTTTTTTCCTTTTATTGTCTTATTACTTGTACTATAAATAGGGGGCTTGTATTGTACATTAGAAGTGTAAAAAGAAAAAAAAGAATAATTTTTTTCTCAATTCTATCTTCAGTTATTTTCCCTTGCATTATTTATATTGATAGAGATATAGCAGTTACCTTATATAGGAAGAGAAATTCAATTTGCATTGGTATGCTGTGTAGCAAGATTTGGTCTCAATTCAAGTGGAGTAGACTTTTTATATGCACAAGCTACTTGAAAGTAATTAGTGTTGGTTATAAATAAGGTATAGAGCCCTCCTATTTGCTGAACAAACGTAAAATGTTCTAATACTGCTTGCATGCTCCTTTATTTTATGCTTGGGTCTGTTATTCTGTAGTCATCATGTATGTCTAAGCCGATTAAAATAGTAGCTAGTTGGCTAGAGAAATGTCCTCCCCATAAACAGATGATGACATAATTGCAGAATTTCCTCGTTAATTTTCACTGCCACTTGTTATCCTTACTAGAATGTTTATTTGTAAGGTTTTTCCATTTCACATTCTTTTGATTTTTAGGATGACCAGAGAAGGCTCTGCCTGTATGCTGCTTTGTTCCTTCCCTTTAGGAAGACTATTTACACAGACAAGAAAGGGAAAAAGGTAAAATTATAATGTATGTAATTACAAATTATAATTTCCCATGTTTCTCTTGGATGTTTCTTGATGTCATTTACCCTTGTACATGACCAGAAAGTGATTTAAGATCATTTTTCGGTTCCTTTTATTCTCTAAATCTCTATTTATATTAATAATTCATATTTTGACAGATCCCAGTTGCGAGTTACATATTTCGCAATTCTCTCAAGTTGAAGGGTAGTGATGCTGAACCTGTATGAACTGGTCACTCTGTTTTAGTTATTATATTTTAATGTTTTGCATGTTAGCTTACTTTTTAGAGTCTGAGAGATCATACTTTTCTCTTTGCTAATGGGGAAGTTTCTTACTTTCAATAGAATTGTCATTGACGGACAGGTTCTGAGTTTGCATTTTGCAGCGGAAAAATTCGTGTCCTTGATTCCTTTGATCCTGTCTAATGAGGATATACAAATTCTTGTAGTTGACTGGAAAAGAGAAATTATTGATGTTCCTGATGCTTCAAAACTCAGAATATTGGCTGGTAAAATGATCTTTCTCCGCTTGAATATAACTTGTGACAGTTTCTATGCACCAATTGTTGTTTCTTCAATATGCAGCTGCTCACCCGCAGAAAATTCACACCTACCATTTGTCTACATTCTATATTGAATCTTAAGTAAATGTCTAGTGCTTGTTTGTAGAGATCTACCTGACCTGTCTTATCTATAGAAATTTGGAAGTGTAATTTCCATCTCTCTTAATGATTGAAATATGTGCAACCGGAACAAACAGTGTTTATGTTGAGATTATTATCATCAAAATTTATTCATCTTCAGAAAATGTAGCTATAATCATAACTCTGAACCTATAGTTGGGGCTCTGAAACTATTCCATAATCTTCTAAAAGTGGTTTTGGTTGATCTCATAAGGGGGTCAAATAGAATGTATTAATGGCAAAAGGGAACTATATAACAACCAGTTCTCTATTAAATTCAGTTTAATCATTAAACTAGTTAGAAGCATGAAGACACGTTTTCACTGTAACTGAAAACTTTGATTGGTTTCCATGTTGGAAACTTAAGTAATTGGGATCTGTATGCCCACTGAATCCCAACAAGTCCGATCTGTAAAACTCAATTTTTTGCAAATTCATTTTCAACCATACATTCTCTCAATAAAATAATTTTGCATGTAAATCAAAAAGTCTCCTTACCTCTAAACCATACATACTCCAAAAAATCACTTTTCACAAAATCTTTCTCAAAAAATGGGGCTCAAATATGGCTACTTACCATTTTACAGAATCTTTACTTGATTCTTAAGGACTTATATTTTTTAATTGAAGCTGGTGGTCCTAATTAGGCATGCTGTTCATTTATGGTGATATCAAATATCTGTAATCATGGAATATGGGATTGTATAGGGATTTGAGAATTCTCGAGGTTGCATGGACATCATTTTATGAAATGCAGAGAGCAAGATACATGAGATGCTTATAAACTTCAAACCTGGATTGATTAACTTCTGTTTTTAGGGGATAATATTTTTGATAACTTTTGTCATTGAATATGCATATATTTGCTAACTTTGTTCAAACCTATAGGATTGCTGCTGCGAGAAATTAAAGAATTTTGGCGTGCCGCACTCGTGCTTTCTATGCTGTTGCCCCCTACCATAATTGGTTGCCCCACAAATCCATCAAACAAGGACTCTGAGATGGGCAGGAAAAGCGAATTATTTAAGGGAATTGAGAAAGCAATTTTGGACCTAGGTATTGCCCACATGCTTACACTATTGTCTTCATAATTACTTATATGGCAGTTTTTATTAAATTTAAAGCTTAATTTGTTCAGTAACTGATTTTTGGCATTTGCTGCACAAATATTCATTTGCATATGTTGATTTTTTCTGGTTGAATAATCTGAAGTAAGCTAAATATGTTCACAGGTTTACGAAGAAACGTAGGTATAGTATTTATTTTTTTATTCTTTACGATGGTGGGTTTTTTTTTTTAACCAACACAATCCTTTGGATCAATTGGCTTCATCAATCCATTCATAATATTGTTGGAGTGTGCCCATAAAGATTTGATTGAATTGAGAATTTCAAAATACAATGAAAACTACGATAAACTACACATAATTGTTCTATAAGAATAATAATAGATTAAACTGAAAAGTGCGAAAAAGAATAAAAATCTGTCATCCCCTTTGAAAACCCATCCCAGCCACTGCTCTTTGAAGGAAACCTTTAAATGATTAAGAGTACTTTTCTTACGATGCAGGTTTAGAAAAAGTATGGGAAATGAAACCATTGGTTAATGGAAAGGATATCATGAATGTCTTGGAGATCAAATCAGGAGGACCCGTAGTCAAGGAATGGGTATGTCTGTCTTATTCCTGCTCATCTACCACAAACTTTAACACTATGCATAGTGTGCCAATGACTGATAATCGTATTTGTTTTCCTTCTTTCAGCAACAAAAACTGCTCGAGTGGCAGCTTGCACATCCCTCTGGGTCTACAGACGAATGCATTGATTGGATGAGGATAATTCATTCAAAATGTGCGAGGACAGAGTGAGTTGTCAACATGTATACTAATTGATATCTGTAAATTAACTTTAATTTCGGGGGCGTGATTCTTTTCTTAAGTTCAACGTGCAAACTTATTCAATTTGAGAGTTTTCTCCTTGTTTATTGAATTTCTCAAACAATACTCGGGAACTGCAGAGATCACTCCTGTACTGGAAGGCACAGAATTAGAAACGAAAATGTAAAATATCCCACCCTTGGGAAAAGGGGATATGAACTGTTGAGAAAGTAATTATCTAGTATGTATTGTGGAAAAGTTATCGTATTCCATAATACTCAACTTTGGAACTGCAGGCTATATTCTTGTTCATAGTTGAGGAGCGTAAAGATGCTTTTTGCGATTTGAGAACGATACCATGGATAGTTTATAATTGGAGGGTGAAATGGTATTATACAGTTTTGAGTAGCTGAACTTTACATTCAATTGAATTGCTACAGGTTCTTAATTTAAATTTCTGGGATTGTATAAAACTATACAGATTATCAATACAATCCTACAAGGAAGCACATAATTTTGTTTGTTCTATTTCTGTTGCATTTTCCTTCCTGGTGACTCATTATTTCGATGAATCATTTCTTCGGATAGAAGACTATGTAAACAGTTACTCGATCAAATCTTATCATATTCTATTGTGAAGGACACATTTTTTTCTAAGAATTTGCCATGATATACTTGATCCATGCATAATATGATTGAAATGGATACAAATTTTTGATTGTTACTGAGTATCGGCAATTGATCTGAAAAAGTATCTAAAAATATCGAAGTAAACAACCATAAGGAATATCCCAAACGAGGTTATTTTTAAGGGAAACTCTTCTTGGCCAGGCTCAATGCCAGGCTCAAGAACAGGGCGCCCATTCCTGGCATTGAGCCGGGCCCAATAGCACGGCTCTATTTTTAACTGTGGCCAACAAATTTTGGCCGCATTAACTATCACCAAACATTTATGTCAAAAGATAATATCATTGTACTCAAAAGTAGCAGCATTCACTAGGAATGTTTACTGTGTTTGGTTTTGATGGAGACATAACAACAGTGATATAAATTGTAGTGTTGCAACACACTTTGTATTGGGATTCTTTCATAAAATTTCCTTGTTTATTTGCTTGAGATTTACATTTTAAAGAACGGTATGTGTAGGCTTAAACACAATTCGTGCTAATTATACTCCGTTGTATCGTTAAATTTCGTCCAATCAGATCACTACATTTTAATTTGATTTCAACGAGGTAACTACATCTAATTTCATCACTTGAAATCACGAAAATCAACGACGAAATAATAAATAATCAATGATCATATTTATTCCTTATTAGCAACTAAAGGTTACATGTGATTACAATCATTTATTGAGTGCCGATTTTCATCCATAAAATTGGACAAAGTTAATGTAATTTAAATCAAATTAAAGTGTAGTCAAATTTAATGTAATTTTTCTACTCGTGTGAAATTGTTAAAAAATTTAAGAATATTGATATTCGTAATTGGATTGTGTTATCAAATTATAAAACTGGGGGTTAGAGGATATTGATATAAGAGGATTCGGGATCCTAGTGCATTTTTCATTATTATATTTTCATCAAATTTGCATTAATCACAATTTTGCATTGATTTTAATTAATTTAGGTCTTGTATTCATATATATACTAGTTGATCACAATTTAGTTTTAGAAAAATTACCAAATTTCATTTTTTCAGTTATGGATAAATTAATTCGAACTTAAACTAGTACAATCTCTGTGGATGTGATATTAGGACTCAAAATTCATTTTACTATTTATTAAAGAATCATGCACTTGCGGTATTTTAAATGAACAATTATTTTGTAACAAGATTTGGCACCGTTGCGAGGGATTATTACTTTAGTTTGGGTTTGATTTAGATTTATTTTATTACTAATTCATATTTCTACCTCTATTCTTGTATTTTTTTTTTCCAGTTTACTTTTTTTTCTCTATTTTCAGGGTATCAAAACACACACAAAAAAAAAAAAAAAGGATAACAATTGATTTCAACAAAATACTCGTACGTGACTTCATCATAAGTCAACGACAATTGGCAACTCAAGACATTAATGATGGGGATATACTTGTAGGATATTTCATTATAGGACAGCGACTAAGAGATATAAAAGTGGAATGTGAACTTGATGAAACCGCCTTAGGTGACTTGCATGTTGCATTATTTCTCATCAAAATTTGATGTGGGTAATTTGCCTATAAAATTATTTCTTCCACTGATTATTAATGGACATCTATTAAGGGAATTACATTCAACGGGCTTTGAACAAATACAACAAGAGGAGAAGACTTTCCATGAAGATGTTATTGTTTCCTTGCCAAAAATTTTGGAAACGAACGTTGAATTCGAAAAAACTTTATTAAAGAAGAGCATATGGAAAAAAGAGGTGTTGATCATAGTAAAGCAAACTGAAAGGGTGACATATAATGATGCCGACCTTACCAAGCAATCCTCTGAATCCAATGATTGCTTAATAATTGATTTTGTCATTAACACCAATGAGATAGTTGAAGGTTACATAGTGGAGTTCGAACGGGGTGGTGAAGCCAAGTCATGTTCTAATGACAAGTATAACATAAACTTTTGGAGAACAAATGAAAATTGGTGCAAGTTCAACAAACACAAGCGAAACAAGGCATTCAAATCGCTTAATGGGAGGCACCCCATTTTTCATATTTCAAGGGACATGTTTTGAATTATTGCATTTACATGGTTCATTTTCATCACATTTTAGGTTATTTTCAAGTTCATCATCGACACTCGAGTACGAGGTTGAGCTTAAACATGTGGAATCAATCTTAAAAAATGTGGGCCCGCCACTTTAGCCGGCCAGACAGACTAACTCGTGTCTTCTTCTTTCTGCACATCTGCCCTAGGAGAGTTTCTGATCTTTTACTCCTTTATTTTGCTTATTTTTTTCTTTTACATAGGGGACAATGTAATATTTTAGTTTGGGGTTGGACTAAGTATCATGATACTTAGGATAAATATTTGTTTTTCAACTGCTCTTGGGTCAGTATAACTATTTTAATTTTAAAAAATCTGAAAAACTCAAAAATATTGTCTAGTATAACATTGAATTGCTTACTGCCTGTGATGATACTTATTTTGCTTATTCGGGAGTTTTTGATCTTTTACTCCTTTACTTTGTTTATTTTTTCTTTTACATTGGGGACAATGTAATATTTTAGTTTGGGCTTGAGCTAAGTATCATGATACTTAGGATAAAAATTTGTTTTTCAATTGCTCTTGGGTCAGTATAACTATTTTAATTTTAAAAAAATGGAAAAACTTTAAAATAATGTCTAGTATAACATTGAACTGGTAACTACCTATGATGATACTTATTTGTTTGAGTTGAGTACATCTTTAGCTAAAATACTAGATGATGTTGTTGACCTAGGTGTGTGTTGAATTCCTAAATCCTTAATGTAGAATCCAAACTACTAAAAAGAATTTTGGTGATGGGAATGCTAGTACTTGTATGTATAGAAATTTGATAGTTTGGAGTTTTCTGAGCTCACCATTAGTTGAAGGAGTCTAGAACGGGCACTGACCATTTTTAAGAATCTCATGTACAACGAACGTGTGATACATCTTACACCTCTCTTCGTAGCCTTTATGATCCAAGTGATTAAGTCTACTAGTATCTTTAAAATCAGGTACCCTATAGTCTTCTAACTTGGGAGTCATTGATCGAAAGCTCGCTATAGGGTTTATTTAGATATTTTAATGGAAAGAAGTCTTATACATAAGATATCGAAAAACAATTGTGTATACATTCATAGAGAAAGAAAGAGAAAGAGATTTAGACTATCGAAAGCGAGAGGTGTCCGATAAGGACTTTGAGACTTGAACTCTACATACTTGCGTTGTGACTTTGAGAAATACTTACAATCTTCCTTCTAGGTTATAAATATCTAATTCTTATCACTTTGTATGAGAAGATGCATTAAATTGATTACACGGAACCCATATGCACCAGAAATACATCGACATTAGAGGGGAAAAGCATAAGGAGTGATCTTGAATGAGAGGTGTGAGGAAAAACTGACCACAAGAGGATTAAAATTATAAGTAAATCAATAACATTAGATCGGTAATGTTCTAGTATGCGTATGAGTTCAATGTTGACTAATCACATACACAATTGGAAGTCGAGCACTGAATAAGTAAAATTTAATTTTTGATATTGTCTGTATCTTTCTAAAATGTTGACTTCAATTTGAACACGAGGCAGGTGATAAATAGTTCGAGGTTGAGTCTGTTTTTTGTGATTTGCTTAGGGTAGTCATACATTTTGTATCTATGTTAAATTTTGTTTGAGAACAAACAAATATTTTAGTTTGGGGTGTTTGATAAGTGCGATTTTTGAACTTATTCAGACCATATTATTAAGATTTTATATTTTTAAAGTGTTGATTTTTACTTAATTTGGGTTAATTTCCTTTTATTTTAGTTTTTTGATCCATCTCTAAAGCATTTGGAAAAAAAAAAAAAAGAACGAATATTTTTGCAGCTAGCTTGAAAGTTTGGGAACTAAAGTACAAATACCCACTAGTTGATTCGGACCACAAAATGATGATTGAAAATCACATATGATCAATTGGATGGAATTGGAAGTAAAGAATTGAATTATAGTCAAAGTATTTTGACAAATCAATTTTCAACTATACAAATTATGCTTCGTATTTTATGTCTCAAATTGAAACCCATTTTTAGCATAGTAAACTTTGAAATTGGAAAATTGATATTTCAAGAAGAATTGTAGTCCTTATGGATTTATTTTTCTCTACAATTATATGTGCAATGATTGTATGATTATTGTGGTTTGTTTTACCTTCAAAAAATTGAAAATAAGCTAGAAATGATGTCAATTGTTTTAGAGTACGATAGAGGATAAAAATATACCGCTATACTCTCCGTGATCTTTAAATATTCATAAATCCTTAATATATTCTTATATGTTCGCATCCGTCGTAGAAATATAGTCGGATCCCATGTGAGAATAGATTTAATTCTACTTGAGAGAGATTATTAAACAATTTAGGAATATTAATCTTCATAATTGGATCGTGTTGTTAAATTGTAAGCTTTGGGGTTAAATCGAGTTAATATAAGGAGATTTGAGACCCCAGTGCATTTTTCATTATTATATTTTCATCAAACTTGCATTATCAAATTTTTGCTTTGATTTAATTAGTTTA